CTAATGCTTCAGTGTATAACTCCTAAAAACAATGATGTTCACTTAATCACAGCATAATATCAAAATCAGACAACTTAAGAATACAGGAAAGTACTTTGAAACTGGAGTAAAACAGGAACAGTAATAATCCGTCCTTCCTCTAGGATCAGAACTCCGACTCCTGCCTGAAACTTGAAAGGGAACCGTACGTGAAACTGTTCCAGCTGTCGGTACATCTCCTCACCCTTTGTCTCATCATTTCAGACTTTCTTCTAAAAGAAATTTAATATGCATTTGTATCTAGTGATTTCACATGAGAACACGAAAACACATGGATAGTCTAGCAAATGAGTGATACCTGTCCTTGGATTTTGGAATGATATCTGATGTGCCTAATACATAAAAGAAAACCAGTTCTCTGGAATAAGAGATATGGAACACTGGCAGAGGCCACTGACCTTTTTACAGGCCTTTGCAAGCAAGGCTGACTCTCATCAACCAGGACCGCTCGGCTATGCACTGTGCTGGAGACAAGAAGAGAACCAGTGCATATGAAACGCCCACCCTAGAACAGGGCAGGGCCTGCTACCTCCTCCAGCGTTCACAATAACTTCACCAGATGCTGCTATGATCCCACTTTTACAGATAAGAAACCAGAAGCCCAGAAAAGTTAGAGGACCAGTCCAACACGTACTAATAAGCAGTCATGGATCTGGGATCAAAACTGGGTCTTCTGATCCCCGAGTCCATGTTCTCTCCTTCTCCCACACTGGTCAAAACAGTCACACCTTAACAACTGCTCCTGCTAACAGAAACCTTTCCCAGTGCACTGATTTCCTCCATTCTCATTATTACCCAACAAAAGGTTACTTGGTACTTATGCCAGGGCACGTTTACTATTCATCACATTTATAAAAACTCCAGGTTGCTTTTCTGAGAGAAAAGAAGATATTTAGTATGATATTTCAAGTTTAAATAAGAGACGACCAACGAATATGAAATTCAATAATACATGACACATAGCAGAGAAATCCACAGGACTAACCTGAATTCAGATCATAATAAAAACAGAAACGAACTAGTCAATTAATTACAGAGCTAAGTTTCCAGCCTGGGATTCTGGTGGCTACAACAGTAAAGCTCGAATAACCTGCACAGCCATGAGACACCCAAGGATGTAATTACAGCTCTGTACAAAATAAATAAGTAAATTAATTAATTAAACAAACCCTTTCAAAGTGCAGCTGCAGTTCAGTACCACCATGCCGCACTTGTCCCAAGGTCCCTCATTTAGAAACCTCAGCTATCCAGATCACTGTGGGGATTCAGGAAGCAAAGGAAGTCAGCTGCTGACAATCCACACAGATGCCACAAGGCACAAGCACCAAAGCCTTAATGTCTCAGCTGAGGTTAACTGTGGTTGTTGTTGCTGCTGAACTTCATTTTGAAATACTCAAACTTCAAAAAAAAAA